CCTGGGGTAGACCACGGACAGAACTGCGGAAGAACAAGGCCGCTCAACAAGGAGAGACAGTACTAAAAGTTAAGGAAACCAGGGAGTGTGAAACTTGACTGTATATAGCAGCCCCTGACGGGGTTTGTTGAACTGAAAATTCTGATTTAGCTCCTCCCAAGTACTCTCCCAGAGGTGGTGTGTCTGCCAAGCATCCCAGGACCGTAGGATTCAATCGAGGTCCTTTCTCCCCACCGTGGCCTTCTCCGTGTACGAAGAAGCCTGTGGTGTGGGACAGAGAGGTGCGAGCGGGAGGGAAGGCGAGGTTCCTGTTGCCTTCCTCACCATATAGTCAAGGCAGGCCCACACAGAAAGAGGAAGGGCTTTTTAAGACGAACCGCCATTCCGGGCTCGTTATGAAGGCACACTGGATCGTCTACTTTTTAAAGACGGGATAAACCGAACGTTCACAGTAAGAGTTGAGAGACCCACGTAAAGCTGGGACACTTTCAGTTCTGGTAAAAACTAGATTTGTCGTGTTAAAGGGCTGCCATAACCCAGTCTGCGGCTCCGCCGCTAGGGGGCACCACTGTGCGGGAAAGCAAAAGGATTCCGCGGTCCTTCGGATCTGGAAGCCACACTAATTGCCAAGAATTAAGCCGAGCCAATGATTTTATTTATATTTCTTAATTTAGACCTTAAAGCGCGTGACAAATACAATAAAAGATATTGCAGAAGGAGAAAAGACTGCATTTTGCATTTTCCTCGTCAAATGCCTCCTGGATAATAAGAGGCTACAAGGCAAGGTTCCTGGGCTGTGCGGGGCCATTATTAGAGGAGGAGCATTTTAATGCAGAGCAGACAATAACATAGGCGCACGCACTTTCTTACCTATGGGGAAGGGTTCTGGTTGGATTTCTTTTTTCTTTCTTTCTTTCTTTCGTTCTTTTTTTTTTTTTCACTCTACCTGGAAATGGGTGTAGACCACGCTATCTGCACGGCTTGCATTCCTTTCTGAATTTTGTTGGTTTTTTTTTTTTTTTTAACGTTGTGGCGATGGAGCAGGGAGAGTCCTGGGAGCTGTCAGTCTGCCGGCTTTATTTAGAACTCAAAGGAGAGCTCCATCACCCCCTAGCGGCTGGCCTAGGCCTCCTTCGGGCACTGTACTGGCGAACTGGAGATGTGAGGCAAGCCTCCTCTCTTCACAGCGTCCTCTGAGAGCTTTGAGGTCCTGCAGTTTGCTTCCCAGGAGAGAAGACATGGGTGAAGGGCCTGCCCTCCTCGCCTTAGTCTGGCCATAAATCCTTATGGGTCCGAGAGGCTCCCGAATCATTGCATTGGATGAACAGAGCTGGGCCAGGCCGGTGAAGAGCTTACACAGAAACCACCCCTCGATCTTACTCTCAATGAATGCTGTGTGGTGGAACCACAGATACTTAGGAAACTAGATGGAGAGGCCTGGAAGAAAGACCCGTGCTACCAGATACACAGCAGCGTCATTTCGACTCCCTTCTCTTGCCCTCTCTTCAGAGCTCACCCCAAAGATTCCCACAAAACGGTTAAAGTGCTTCAGCTTACAAAAGGAATTGACTTTCATCCGGAGAACCAATGAGGGCACTCAGTGGAGCTCAGTAAGAAGTCTGAGCAACACAAACATGACACACAGTGAGTGGGGAGAGTGGGGAAGAACGGGGACGCTCAATTTAATCTGAAAGATACACGCCCCGAGAGGAGTTGGGGGCATGGCTCAAAGCTCTGAATTTTAGTTAGGCATGGTGGCTACCACTTGTAATCTCAGTATTTTTGAGGCTGATCTGAGGAAGATTGTAGGGAGTTTGAGGCTAGTCTGGGCTACAGAGTAAGTTCCAGGACAGTCTGGGCTAGAGTGTTCTCCCGCCAAACAACAAGATTTTATGACCAACAAGAGGAGACGTCTTGGCCTGGTCCAGACTATTACCTAATGCTTTCACAGAATGGCAGTGGCCAGCAGTAGTGTGGAAGGGTTCTTCCTACTCATTTAAAACAGCGACGAGAGCACAGGGTCAAGGGTCACTGCTCCTGCATTCACGTTAGCATACGTGTAGCGATATTTCATTTGTATTTTCATAAATAAAGTTTGTCTGAAGATCAGAGAGTGAAACAGCCGCACTGGTCAGACTTACAGACCAGGCAGTGGGGACACACACCTTTAATCCCAGTAGCCATGCTAGCTTGCCACAGAAACCAGGCAGTAGTGATGCAGGCCTTTAATCCCAGAACTAGAGAGGATTATAAAACGGGAGGAGACAGCTCTCAGTCTCAGTCTCATTCTGAGATTCCTGGAGGCAGGATCGTCATTTCGGACTGAGGTAGAGGTAAGAGTCAGTGGTTGGCTGTTTTGCTTTTCGGATCTTCAGGTTGAATCCCAATATCTGTCTCTGGGCTTTTATTAATCATGGTACACATATGCTTTCCATATTACCATATGCAAAGTCAACCCTGAACTCATTTTACGGTGTGACACGCTATAACTAGCTATGCCTCCATTCATAAATGTGTAGTTGTGGGTAGTTTTCTAAATTTCCTACATAAACAATAAAGTCCTAAAGTGTCCATACTAAATCAAAAAATATATGGAGTTTAGGTTTTGACTGACTTATTGATTGCCCTTGATAAGGAGTGAATGGTTTTCCATTTCCATCCCAGTATGGAAACTATGTCTCTCTGGGCTTTATGACCAAAAGCTGGGGGCTTTGTCAATTTGAAGGTTGTTGGAGGTTTTCATTTTTACATTTGCTTGTTTGTTTTGCCTGCTTGTGTGTGTTTATGTATGTGTGTATGAGTATGTTTCTGTTGTGTGTATTTATGTATGTGTGTATGAGCATGTTTGTGTGCATGAGTATGTTTGTTCTGTGTGCATGTGTTTATGTATGTGTGCATAAGAATGCTTGTGTGAGTGTTTATGTCTGTGTGTGTATGTTTGTGTGTGTT